TTGTATATTTGAAAAAAAAAATATAAACCGCAAAAAGCAATCTTTTACATAGGAGATGATCCTCGACAAACTTTAAAGAAAAGCTTTTCAGAGAAGTGACATTAAAATATTTATTTCTGAAAAAAGCAAGAAGAGCACTAAGATAAGGGCGTCTATCTTCCCCTTCGGCTTCTTCCGCATCTGATTTGAAAAAGAAAAGGATGAGAAAATGTGCCTCGACAAAAAAGGAGAAATCGGCATTTTTCAGAAGGGGCACTATTAAAAAACAGCGTTGAGCTTAAAAAAGGAAACAGAAATATGGTTCGGAAATTTCATTACGAAGTAAAATTGCGGCGTGGACATTTTTTTAAGACGAGTCCAAGCAAAGGAAAATATGAACAACAGGGGCCCGGCGAATAACCGCGCATATGGCAGCATCTCCATGGGGGGGCCCCGAGATTAATAATCGTTTTTGTTTTTATCACGTCTACTTAATGTATACACATACCATGAATTATCCTTAGCATACCATTTAAACCGTGCCACATTCTCCTACTCCCTTTTTGTCAATTTTCACATCCAGCTTTTAAATTATATTACCTTTTTTTCTTTTCGTTGGTGTTATATTTATTTCTTGCCCTCGGTGAGGAATCCGCACTTTTTATTTTTGTTTGCTAGCATTTTTCTCCAATTATCACGGATGTTTGAGGTACCGAAAATTTAAGTTGTATTCTTCCAGCTTCTAAGTGTATATATATATATGTGTGTATACACGTACCTATGCATATCTGTGCTAATTTTTTCATGTATAATTTTTATCCCAATGCTACTTGTTTCGATTTGATTCTTTCCCAGATGGAGCGGCCTCCCACCACGCACCTGAAGCGCCGCCAAGTTTGTTTATAAAACACATATCGGGTGTACACCTGTGTATCGTATTTGACCCTTTTTTAACCGACCAACGGCGTGACCGCGTAACCGCTTAATCTTTTTTTTCTAATTCGCTCCTTACTAGTGATGGACATACATATTACCGCAGCGATTCTTTGAGAAATTCCCCCATTCCATTGCAACACCATTTGCTGAGTTGAGAAGGTCCTATTTAAAGGGCACCCACTAGATAGGGGGTGTCCTACAAATGAGCGTCACAATTCTTTTTTTTTTTTATGTTTTCTTATCAACTTAATGATATCTAAAATGTGATCCTCTTTTACCATTCCGCACACGGAAACTATAATCGAGTTGGAAGACCAAATGTCGAAAAAAAAAACACAAAAACAAGCAAAAATGAAAAACAAAGAAACACAAAATAAGCGCAAATAAACTAAAATATAATGCAGTGAAGCAACAGAAAACGTTCAGACTAAACTCAAAATTTTACTATGGTGTTGACGTTTTTAAAGCCTGTTAAATCGGGAACATAAACAAAGGGCAAATGAAAACGGGCGAATTTACTCTTTTAAAAAATTTTCAAAAAGCACATGTCAAATTGGTCATCAAAAATGTTCGGCCAAATGGTGCGCGCTTCACCGTTCTTCGAAAATTATTCTAAAAGGTTAAGCAGTGCACGTGTGCACATAAACATATGCATTCACATGTACAGGTGCACACACCTACGCCCGTTCCAAAATCTGGCCAATTCAAAGGAAGCACAAATCTAAAAGCTAACAAAGCACTATATGATAAAGGGACGGGAAAGAAAAAAAAAGAAAAAAAAAAAGAGTTTAGGACTCCATACCTTTCTCCTTAATCATGTGGTAATTAAGTATTGCACGATCCAAATGTTCGCGCATGTGACAGTTCATAGTAATGTCAAACAGTTCCGCGAAATCTTCTCTTAAAAAATCCAATTCTGTGGACATGAGACTACTATACATGTCTACAAAGTTTTCTAAGTTCTTTCTCCTGAAAAGACTTTTCAAAAGTCGTAAACCTTTTAGGTTTGGCATCCTGTAAGTTTTATGCATTAATGAATAGTCAAATTCCCTTAGAAATCTTTTGTGTCCATAAATCATTTTTGTTTTCATAACTGAAAAAAAGGAGGGCAACAAATCATCTATAGATCCAAAGTAATCTTCTTTTCCATCTTTTTCACAAAATCCAAAGGTAGGGTTATGATTATGTGGTCCCAATAAAAGAAGTGAACTACTACGTCTCCTTAAGCCTAACCTTTTTCTTTTACTAATAACTATGGATGTACCTCTCGTAGGCTGTGTTATATCAGAATTGTAGTACATATCGGAAAGACTAAGAAAAGACAAGAAGTTTATATCACGTGCTGCATATACTTCAGACATATTAATAGGACGGTCTTCTTTTGCTAAATAAGATGTTTTAAATGCCTTGATATCATATAGAGAAAAAGATCGAATAGGATTACTCTTGTAAGTAGCATGTGTTCTTATATCAGCTTTGGAAATGGTTTTTCTAAAAATATTTACATCATTCTTCAAGTTCGAAACATCCTGTTCTTTAAGTACTAAGCCATCAATGTATCCCAAAAGCGTTGGACTCGAGAATATAGAAAGAAAATCTTTACTTAAATCTGGATGCACATCTTTTAATAAATTTTTGAAAAAGGTCTCATAGTTGTCTGTATTTGACATAGATTTTATATCCTTAGCATAGTTTTGAATTAAATATATAGTGAAAGCTCGCACAAAACATGACTGATCACTATTATCTAAAGCGTATAAATTCATATCCTCTACATATTTTATTGCATCAGTAGGGTTAGAAAAATGATTGAAAAAGAAATAAACCCAATTTCCTAACATTTTACGTGTAGATGAATGTCCCAAAACCATGGACGTAACTGAAAGATCCTGGAAATTGATGTTGTGCAATTCCTTTGTGCAGGTATATCCATCCACACCATTATTGAAAAAAAGAGTGACTAGGAAGGAAATCAGAATTATCGCTTTCATCTTGTCTTTCTTTGTCGGATAAGTTTTACCATCAATTTTGTGAACTACTTCTTTTTCTATTTTTTGGGGGAAGGACGGGTCTGGAAAATGTACACGTTTCTCCTTTCTTCACAAAGCGGAAAAATTGTTGAAGACACGTAGTGGGGGTATTACGTTGGCGCTCACACACGCGTACTCGCCAATGAGCGTACTACGGGTGTGTATCGTGGGTGTGTGTATGTGTACACGCAACTGCACACGTAGATGCACACTTACATGTATGGGTATAACTGTACTCAGCGAAAAGTGTAAAATTTACTTCACTAAAAATTAAAGTATTCACATCGAAACTCTGCGTCCGCCAAAGAAGTCATACAAAACGAAGGGAAACGGAAAAGCGATAACCGAAAATGGCGATAATTAGCTAACAGCACATGTTGCAGACTTGTTTCACTTGGTTTTGCGTTCGTACATGCAAATGTACACATTTACGAATTTACACATTTTTTAACTTTATTTTATTTGATTCCTCTTTTTATTTTATATTTTATTTTTTTTTTTTTCTAGTATTCCAAACAATACCAAGTGTTTAAAACAATTTGGCAATTTTTTGCGAACAAGTTAAAAGCTATAAAACAAATTAAAACAATAGAGGCAAAAAAACAGAAAATGCTGTCTACTTCGCGCATTAATTAAACAAAAACAATTTCCCCTTTGCACTTGATATGCATAACACACGTTATCTAATTCTTAACTTCTTGCAGTTACGAAACATGTGTAATTAAATGTGTAAAGAATTGTAGAAAATTGTTAATTTCTTTCATCGCTTCAGCGTTATACGTAGGTGATACGTACGTGAGCGGAAACGCCAACGAAAACACAGACGCAAATGAAAATGAAAGTGCAATTTTCTTAAATGCCAATAAGGAATTGTTGCAGCCATTAAATAGGCGATGCCGTAAACAGAATATTTTTATTTACAACATTTCTGCAATTACGGTGCTGTACGAAAAATTCAGAAAAATTTCCAACTCTCGCAAAAAATAGTTAACAATTTTTAGCCACTAAAAAAGGAACAAATGTAAAGACACCCCGATTTATTTGCAAAATTTAGACAAAAAAAAATGCAATATCATGCGAACAAACGAACGAGAGAGCGAAAGGAAACGAGTGCAATCCGCGTCAATGCGCATCCGCAGGGAAAAAACTTTGAAATATATCCGAAAAATCGACATAACTGTACTCGCAATTTTGATCAAAAAATAGACCACCGTTTACTCATTTTAAAAAATCCATTTTAAGAAGCGTTAAATGTAAAGATAGCACTCGAAAAGTGTTTTCCTATCCAAAAAAGTCTCCATTTAAATAAAATTCCCAATTGTGCAAATTAATGTCCATACGCGCACTCATAAAAATATGTGCATCACTTGTAGGTGCACATGTATACGTGCACACGTGTCCTCACCTTTCGGTTACTTTTGTAAATTTTACTCAAAAAATTATTCTTCAAACATGTTACTGAATCCATCCACATATTTTTCGTTTTACTAGGACTTTTGCTTTTTTTTTCATGAAAAGCGGACAAAATTGGCACCTTTTTGCTTTTGCATTTATGCGCATCCTTGAACAACAAAGTTGTAGAGTTTTTCCGCTTTTTTGCCATCCATTTTGGGAGCCATTTTGGGGCCATTTTGCCAGTTCTCTTCCCCCGTGGCGCGTCAACCGTACTTTCACCCACAAATGAACATGCACTTAGGCGCCCTTTCTTTTTCTCTTTCCTTCGATTCCCCTTTTTGATGTACGCAAATGTGAACACCTTTTCATGCGCTGCCTCCATAAAACTTTTGTTTAGTATCTCCCTACTTTCCAACTTGACAATTTCGACCCAGATCAAGCACCATTATGAATGGTTCCGTTCATCCAGCCATCTTGTGCATGTCTCCCTAGCACCGCACATCTCGTGAAACGAAACCAATCGTGGATCCCATCTGAACCAGGAGACGTGCGGGTAAATATGCATGAACATGTGTGTAACCTCCTTCTCCATGGTCACAATGCAAAGTCCTCCCAAAATATTAATTGTCTCCATATGCATATCCTTATGAGAGTATATTTATTCCTGCTTGGTAGACGTATTGCATCTGCATTCACTACAAATTTCCAAGTTGTCAGCCTGGACATCACCGCTGATTAGCATTATTCAGCATGCTAAAGTTTTCCAAAAAGCTGCCCTCCCTAAGAAATAACTCCAACTTATTTAGAACCCCCTCGCTTGGAACCGTTTTTAAATTACAACATTTGTAAATATCTTTCAAGAAATTTATGTTTACATCTTTTTCCTCCTGCAGAATTAATTCTTTTATCGCTACTTTCGATTTTTCAAAATTTTTTTCTAGCACTAAGGTAAATGCAATCAGCACTTTCACATAACTGCAGAGGGGGTTGATTTTTTGAGCTTTCGAGAAGCTGTTCAAAGCATCTTCATTTCGTTTCATTTTTAAAAATATGACACCCTGCATAATGAACAGATCAATTCCTTCATAATCATTCTTCTGTGCATGTTCTAAACATAGTAAGGCAGTTTCGTATTTCTCCTGATGATTATATATTGAAGCGCAGTACATAGACACAAGCGCATCACTACTATTTAGTTTAAGACATAAACTCAAGTGAACATTCGCTAGCTCGTAGTTTTTCTCCTGAAATAATATAACGCTTAGTAACAAGTGTACTTTAAAATTACACGCATTTATTTGTAGACATTTCGATAATGCTAAAGCTGCCTTGCGCATGCTTCCCAAAAGTTTCATTTCACAAGAGTAGAGAATATAGGCATATTCGTAAAACTTATTTAACCTCATTGCCTTTCTGAAAAAATATACTGCCATTCTTTTGTTATTTTTTAGGGAAAAATAATTTCCTATAAGACATAAAAAATCTTCATTCACTTCTTTCTTCTCATAACTCAGCAAAATGTGTTCTATCTTGTCTATATCTGCTTTGCACCAATAACATGTTGACAGAAAGGGTAAATGTTTCGTATAAAAAGATTCTATATCATGAATTTTTTCAAAAAAAAAAATCGCCTGTTCATAATTCCTAAGTAAAAAGTGACATAATCCTTTGACGTAAAAAATGCATGTACTAAAAATTGGTCTGTCTTCCCACTCCTCTATTAACCCTAAACATTTTCTAAAATTATTTACATAAAAGTAATAGTACAATTTTCCTAGTGCCCATAAATTTACTATTGCTTTGTTTGAAATGTACTCACTTCCTTTGTCGCCCGTGATCATATTTATTTCCTCTTCGAACTGCTTTTCCCACTCCCAAAGAGACTTCTTCATTTCTTCTTCTCCTATTAATGATAGAATAAACTCCGCGCTCTTCACATCTATGCCGTTTGTATCCTTTTCGAATTCTAACTCTTCCAAAATGGTGTAATCCGAATGGGAAGTTTTCTCCCTATGGGACGCTCTTTTCTCATAGCAGTGGGAATCAGCATTTTCCGTGATGTGCGCTTCTGCATTCTCTACGTCGTACAGGCTTGCATTCTCTACGTTGTACAAGACTGTATTCTCTACGCCGTGCATTTCTGCATTCTCTACGTCGTACTCGTCTGTGTCCTCCTCGCCATAGGCATCTATGTCTCCCCCCCCCTCGCACTCGCCCATGTCCTCCTCACCGTACTCATCTTCTTCCTCCTCGCTGTACCCCTCTTCATCCTGCTCGCCGTACTCCTCTTCATCTTCTTCGCCGTACTCATCCTGCTGCTCCTCCTTATCTTCCACCCCGCTGCACACTCCCCACGACTGGTAAAAGGGAACTCCAAAGTTATACACTTTCGAAAACTTTTCTACTTCTTCCGTGAACATAGCATTAGAGTAAAAGTTTCCGTGCAGCTTTAGTAACTTCTTAAATGCGCAAAAGAAAATGGGGCATGATTTAAAGCACAAGTAATAACAATAAAATGCTATATCTATTAATTTCTTCTTTTTCGCATCATTAAACCACTCATTTTTAGCTTCCTTTTCGCACAATTTCCCCATAATGTAATATCCAGCACTATGTCCTGGAAGCTTTTTCACATCGTAAAAGTTATTTTCATAAAATTTGATATTCTTCTTTTCGTACTTTTCGTGCACCTCCCCCTTGCAGTTGTATTTTATGTACTCCTCATCCAGCAGCATTAGCAGAATGACTTTCCTTTTTTCCTTTTTCAATTTATAGCAAGCATAGATGTATCCGTATTTTACAACATTATCACAGATATCATCTTGGCATTTTCTTTTTGTATAGTCATATAACCCGTTCAAGTCGCCATAGTTTAAATAAGACTCCTCATGAATGACAGAAGTGTTTACCCCTTGTCGGTAGCACTGGCTGTCTAAAAGGTCTTCATATAACCTTCTTTGAAATTTTAGGTTGTACTTTTTGGACAGATGAAGAGCGCTCTTTAGGAAGTTAAAATAGCTGGACGAATTCTCTTCTTCCTTCATTTTTCGCTAATTTAAAAAATGTGTATAAAAAAAAGTGGCAATTGTTCCTTCTTGATTAGTTAAACGTGATATAAAACCTATTGTGATCTGTTAAAATTTTTGTTTCTTCTTGTCCTTCAACATAACGGTAAGGCGAAAACCTATTCGTCATTATGTGCTAGCTTATTCATATGGGGGATGGGGATGAATGGACTCTATTTTATTTCTTTCCCCCCTCTGCACACTTCATACTTTTTTCTTTATATTAAAAAAAGTAACGACTGAACTTTCTGCTTTGTTGTCGAAGCGTCCGCGAAAGTTTAGCTGCTCTCTCAAAATAAAAATGAGCGCCAAAATGAATAGAACAATTTTTACAAAATAGCCCTACTTTGTTTATTGCCTGCAATTTGATCAACCTTGCGCAGGCCTCTCCATTCCAGTACCTCTACTGCAAAATGAAAGGTATGTATATGTGTATATTCGCATGTGCACGCTAAAAGTATGCTCCACCTCTATTTCGCTTTCTAGTAGGCCGTTATTCAAGCTATAAAGAGCCTACATAGCATTGACTACTCGTCCGCGACGATCTCGATTAATCGTGCACCCAAAAGGGAAAAAAAGAAAGAGCGAACAACTGAAACAATAAATTGATTAACAATTTAGAAGATTCAAAATACGCAGCGGTTTTTTGCACCTCAATTTGTGTGCCCTCTTTTGTTCTTGGGAACACCTTTCCATGTCAAACCGTTCCGCAGGTTCAGGGAGTGAAAATTGTGTCTTTTTCTTTAAATGTATCTTTTTCTTTCACATCGGTGTAGGACGTGCATACATTTTGAATTAGTTTCGAAAC